GGCATGGTCTAGGCTCACTGCAACTTTTACCTCTAGGGTTCAAGTGATTCTCCCACCTCAGCCTTCTGAGTAGCTGCACACCACCATGCTCAGCTAATTAAAAAAATTTTTTTGTAGAGACAAGGTCTCACTATATTGCCTAGGCTGGCCTCAAACTCCTGGCCTCAAGTGATCCACCCATCTCAGCCTCCCAAGTGCTGAGTTACAGGCATGAGCCATCGTGTCCAGCTTGCTTTACTTTCTTGTCATAGTGCCTACAGCTAGTTAACTTTTTTTTTTTTTTTGAGACGGAGTTTCGCTCTTGTTAACCCAGGCTGGAGTGCAATGGCGCGATCTCGGCTCACCGCAACCTCTGCCTCCTGGGTTCAGGCAATTCTCCTGCCTCAGCCTCCTGAGTAGCTGGGATTACAGGCATATGCCACCACGCCCAGCTAATGTCTTGTATTTTTAGTAGAGATGGGGTTTCACCATGTTGACCAGGATGGTCTCAGTCTCTTGACCTCGTGATCCACCTGCCTTGACCTCCCAAAGTGCTGGGATTACAGGCGTGAGCCACCGCGCCCGGCGACTAGTTAACTTTGAAGGCCAAGCAATGGCTCACACCTGTAATCCCAGCACTTTGGGAGGCCGAGGTGGGCAGATCACCTGAGGTCGGGAGTTCGAGACCAGCCTGACCAACATGGAGAAACCCCATCTCTGCTAAGAATACAAAGCCATGAGTGGTGGTGCATACCTGTAATCCCAGCTACTCCGGAGGCTGAGGCAGGAGAAATCACTTAAACCCGGGAGGCAGAGGTTATGGTGAGCTGAGATCACGCCATTGCACTCCAATCTGGGCAACAAGAGTGTAACTGTCTCAAAAAAATAACAAAACAAACAACAAAAAGGACTGTTAGGAAGTCCTCTCCACACCCCATGCCATGAGGAATCAAAGCCCCATCTGTGCTGAGGGCAGGGGCTCCATGGGGCTATTTACTTCCTGATCTTTCTGAGCAAGACATACTTAGTTTAGTCTGCAGTAAGGACTTAGGCTAGACGGTGTCTCTGCTCTCCCCAATATTACAACAACGAGCACACTGGCATCATTGTCTATCCTGCCCCCATCACACTAAGTTGATCAATAACGTCTGATTCATCTGTCTTCCCAGGGTGGGGCATTGGGTCTGGCATAGGAAATGATAAATGAATGACTACTGAGAATGAATGGATGAATGAAATTAATAAATAGATAATCAATTTATTAATTACCCACCATGTACCAGGTACTTTTTCGAGTGCTGGACATACAAAGTGACTGTAAGTCTTTTTTTTTTTTTTTTTTTCCCAAGTAAGATTTTTCTATTCTACAAGACCTAGACAATTTTTGTTAATTAATGGGCAAATGGTCTGAGGTGCCGGACATCCAGGCATCATATAGAGGCCAGACTGGTTTACATAAAAAAAAATTCTTCATTTAGGAATAGGCAAAGACCTCTGTAAGGTCTTTTAGGCTGACTGATGGGCCCATGGACACCATGTTAACCTCTATGACCTACACAGACACTCCAGATGAGTTCCTGGAAAATCTGAAGTAGGTAGAAGACCAGGCTGAGATATCCCTAAGGTGTGGGACACCACCTCCCCATCCATTGCTACAAGTCACTCACCCTCATCACCCACTTAAAACCTAACCACCCTTAGCCCACCCAGCGCCAGTACCCCATCCCACAACAGGCTTTAAAAGGCCTAAAGCCTGTTATCACCTGTCTATTGCAACATGGCCTTTAATTCCTACAAACTCTCCTTATAATTCCCCTATCCTAGTTGTCCAAAAACCAGACAAATTCTACAGACTAGTCCAAGACCACCGCCTCATTAATCAGACTGTAATTCCCATCCACCCGGTTGTACCAACCCCTATTCCCTCCTATCTTCCACACCCCCTTCCAGAGAAATCATTAGAGAGGCTACGGAAGGTGACAAAGTGGTAAGGCCTGCTATCCCCGTGCTGAGTACAATAGTAATTCCTAACCCTACAAATAAGGGGTTCAATGAAATGACCCACTTGTGTCATGTCAGGATCTCAAGGGGAACAGAGAGGTTTTCATCTCCATTGGCAAACTGAATTTTGGAAGTAAGAAAAACTAGGGTACAAGTGCCTGTCCAGTTAGTAGGAAGGCAGATGTAAGAGGAAGAACCACAGAGGAAAAAAAGTCCTTGGCTTATTCTGGGGGTTACTCTGGACCTGGCTGGACTGGCTGGACACTCTCTAATGGAGTCATGCCTTCTTCCAACCCTCAGTCCTTGATACCTTTCTCCTTGTCTTATTTGTACCCTGTATTTTCCGATTAATCTCTCAATCCTACAAAATCGTATACAAGCGATAACCAATCAGTCAATATGACAAATGCTCCTTCTAGCAACCCCACAATATCACCCCTTGCCCCAAGAGCTCCCAGCAGTCTAAATGGCTTAGACAGAACTGGAAGTGTAAACTGAAAAGATGAGAAGGTGTTCTGGGAGGGCTGGGGTCTTGTACCTAGATACCAAGGGAACCAGTAAGGGCTGCAGCTGTTAAAGGTTGTAGCGGGGTTTGGTGGGGTAACTGTGTGGAGGGAGAGCTTTTGTTTTCATGGTGTATGAGAAAGCGTGTGGTAGCTATAAGTAACTTTTTTTTTTTTTTTTTTTTTTTGAGACAGTCTCGTTCTGTTGCCAGGCTGGAGTGCAGTGGCAAGATCTCGGCTCACTGAAACCTCCAACTCCCTGATTCAAGCTATTCGCCTGCCTCAGCTTCCTGAGTAGCTGGGATTACAGGTGCCTCCCACCGCACCCAGCTTTTTTTTTTTTTTTTTTTTTTTGTATTTTTAGTAGAGAAAGGGTTTCACCATGTTGGCCAGGATGATTCTCTATCTCCTCACCTTGTGATCCACCCACCTTGGCCTCCCAAAGTGCTGGGATTACAGGCGTGAGCCCCTGTAACCAGCCACCATTTACTTTCATTAATAAGACTGGGTATGAGCAGACAGGAAGAGGGGTCTGAAGGAGAGTCTGAGCAGCAAGAGGAGGGTACCCAAGGGTAAAGTGAAAGACAAGGCAATTGCCTGTCTAGGCAAGACCTGCTATTGATGTTTTTAAGCCTGCTAGTAATAAGGGAGGCTTTTCTATAATGTGCAGTTCATATGCTCCTATTTTTTGGTTAACGTGGGTAGCAGGGCTCTTGAGGTGAAGTGTAAAGGAGCACAAAGTGGGTGGGAGATTTCCTAGCGGGTTATTCTGGACCCGGCTGGACTGGCTGGACACTCTCTAATGGAGTCATGGCTTCTTCCAACCCTTAGTCCTTGATACCTTTCTCCTTCTCTTAATTGTACCCTGTGTTTTCTGATTAATCTCTCAATCCTACAAAATCGTATGCAAGCGATAACCAATCAGTCAATATGACCAATGCTCCTTCTAACAACGCCACAATATCACCCCTTGCCCCAAGATCTCCCAGCAGTCTAAATTCTTGCACATTTTTAGGTTTCCACGCCGCTCCCAATCCCATTCAAAGAAGCCCTGAGAAACATCGCCCCATCACCTCTCTGTGCTGGCCTTCCTGATATTCCACTGCCCCCCACTCTTCTTTTCGCTTTATATTACTGATATAAAAAGACAGGAATGTAAGGTCTTTTAGGCTGACTGACGGCCCCATTGCCATCATGTTAATCTCTGTGACCTGCACAGACACTCCAGATGAGTTCCTGGAAAATCTGAAGTAACTGGAAGACCATGAAAAGAGGAAGAAATGATCAACTCCTGGAGCACCTACTCAACTTTGAGACATTCTCTATCGTTCCTTATTCCCACCCCAATTGTTAATGCCACTGGACTTTGGTCAACCTTGTGACTCCACACCCTATGACCCCCTCCCAGTTTGCAAAAAACCACCCTAAACCGTAAGTTCTGTAACTTTTCACCGCCCACCCCAAACCTATAAAACCAACTCCTAACCCACCACCCTCAGCTGACTCTTTTTGGACGCAACCCACCCGCACCCAGGTGAATAAACAGCCATGTTGATTACACAAAGCCTGTTTGGGAGGGTGTCTTCATTCAGAGTGCACGTTTTAATAGTGACAAAGTCTCTAACCTCTTGTTTCTTACATTCTAGATGGAGAGACAATAAACGTAATTACACAGCTGTTGGGAGAACCAGTTCGCTATGGGCCCTGAGTGCCCCTGCACATTCTTGCTGGGTATGCCAAGAAAGCAAGACCCTGGCAGCTCTGTACTCAGGCTGGGTTTGTCTTTCAAGGAACCTTGAAAGACAAGGTAAAGTCTCCGACTGGACAAAGAACAGCATGCTTACCACTCACTATTAAAGCAGTCAACTGGCAGGGCCTGCTGGTGTGCACCGGGAGTCCCAGCTACTCAGGAGGCTGAGGCAGGAAGTACTTGAGCCCAGGAGTTCGAAGCTGTAGTGAGCTATGATAGTGTCACTATACTCCAGCCTGGGCAACACGGTGACACTTGAAAAAAAGAAGAAAAAAAAAAAGGCCAGGCACGGTGGCTTACGCCTGTACTCCCAGCACTTTGGGAGGCCGAGGCGGGTAGATTACTTGAGGCCAGGAGTTTGAGACCAGCTTGGACAACTTAGAGAAACCCCGTCTCTATTAAAAATACAAAAATTAGCCAGGCCTGGTGGCGCGCGCCTGTAATCCCAGCTCCTCGGGAGGCTGAGACAGAAGAATCGCTTGAACCCGGGAGGCAAAGGTTGCAGTGAGCCCAGGTGGCGCCATTGCACTGCAGCCTGGGGAACAGAGGGAGACTCCTTCTCAAAAAAAAAGCACTGTGAGCATGAATGAACGAAAGTGCACAAAGAAATCACTAAAAACCTGCTTACTGTGGAGCGTGGAACAAAAGACCTGTCCACCAGGTGCTCCACGGGTGAGGCTGAAACGCCCCTCAGAAAAGGAGACAGCTGTTCGGGTCCTTTAAGAGGAGGCCCCATCCCGCCCCGCGAAGCCCCGCCCGTAAGGAGGCACGTGCCCCCAGGCCACGCTCTAGGGGCGGGACTCAGGGCGGTTTGAAAGGTCGGCGCGCAACGCAACAGCGGCGGTCGGCCTTGCTGCTGAGATGTCGGTATTGAGGCCACTGGATAAGCTGCCCAGCCTGAACACAGCCACCATTTTGGTAGGTGCCGGCGGACCCGCTTCCCCAGCCGGCCTTTCCTCCCTGGCGGAGCTTCAGCCCCACACGTCTACTGAGCTCCCTGAAGCGCCAAGCCAGCGCGCGCCACAGTGGTGGGGGCGGGGAATAGGCGGAGAGCCACGATATGAACCAATCGGAGTAGCCATTCTCCGAGGCTGAGAGACGTACCCACCAATAGATGCGCGGCGGGCCCTTTTCCAGCTTCTGATTGGCAGGTTTCCGCGCCCGGACTTGCTTGTTCCGCGTCTGGGGGCCTGGACTCCTGGTGAGGCCAGCTGTCGGAGGTGGGGTCAGGGGGAGTAAAGTGCGGTGCCAACAGGCCTGCAGCGGGTCCATACCTCAGCCACCAGCCCGTGCCGCCTCGCGGGGTCCGCTTCTCGGGGAATGCCCTCCGAGCTGCCTGCGCGCGGCGGCCCGATCCCCCCGGGAGTGGGTCGAAGGGCCAGGCCCTCCCCAGGGGATAGTGTGTCCGGGGCTCTAATGGTCGCTCTGTCTCCCTGCGCAGCTGGTGGGCACGGAGGATGCTCTTCTGCAGCAGCTGGCGGACTCGATGCTCAAGGAGGACTGCACCTCCGAGCTGAAGGTGTAAGTAGGCTGTGGCTTGGCCCACGTGTCTCTCACCCTAGAGGGATTCAGTCCTAGCTGCTAAACCCGGAGGCCCAGCGACCTCTCCTCTGATCCTGGGCCTTCTCCCGGCATGTAGCGTAGCTGGCAAGTCCCAACCTCACCTTGACGAGGTGGTGACTCAACAGAGCCCCTTTCTGGTAGAGGGAATCAGACAGGAGTGATCTGAATAGGACTGGCCCTGTCCTGCCTCTGTGCTGGCCCGAGGAGTCATGGCCACAAGAGCCTCGGGTGGCTAGGGTGAGGTTGGGAGCCCTTGACAGACCCTACCCGATGAAGGGCAGCATTTAAACGGTCGCTGTGAGGTGGGTATGGATATCTTGAGTCCTGCAATTTCCTGTTTTTCAGCCACTTGGCAAAGTCCCTCCCTTTGCCCTCCAGTGTGAATCGGCCCCGAATTGACCTGATCGTGTTTGTGGTTAATCTTCACAGCAAATACAGGTGAGACCCAGAGGACAGGACTCAGGCAGGCCTGGCTCAGGAGTGTGCTGGGACAGTGACCTAACTTGTGCTGGGAACTGGGGAGGATGAGAGAGGTCAGGAGTTCAAAACCAGCTTGGCCAATATGGTGAAACCTCGTCTCGACTAAATATACAAAAATTAGCTGGGTGTGGTAGCACATGCCTGTAATCCCAGCCAGCTACTAGGGAGGCCGAGGCACGAGAATCACTTGAACCCAGGAGGCGGAGGTTGCAGTGAGCTGAGATCGCACCACTGCACTCCAGCCTGGTGACAAAGTGAGACTTTATCTAAAGATAAAGTCTCACTAAAAAAAAAAAAAAAACAAAAGCCAGGCATGGTGGCATGCACCTGTCATCCCAGCTACTCGGGTGGCTGAGGCAGGAGCATCACTTGAACCTGAGAGGCGGAGATTGCAGTGAGCCAAGATTGCGCTAATGCATTCCAGCCTGGGTGACAGGGAAACTCCATCTCAAAAAAAAAAAAAAAAATTAATATAAAAATTAGCTGGGTGTGGTGGCACATGCTTGTAATTTCAGCTACTCGGGAGACTGAGGCAGGAGAATCACTTGAACCTGGAAGGTGGAGGTTGTGGTTAGCTGAGATTGTGCCATTGCACTCCAGCCTGGGCAACAAGAGTGAAATTTCATCTCAAAAAATTAATTAATTAGTTAATTAAAGGACAAAGTATTTCTCAAAGGAATGCAACCCTTTGTCATTCTCTGGCCTCTAGGATCAGAGAAGCAAGGGCTTCTGCTTTCTCTGTGGTAAAGTTTTGTTCTCTGGTTTGTTTTCTTCCCCTGGCCTGGCCACCACAGCCTCCAGAACACAGAGGAGTCCCTGCGCCATGTGGATGCCAGCTTCTTCTTGGGGAAGGTGTGTTTCCTCGCCACAGGCGGTAAGTACTTCCCTCACCTGCTACTGCCGACCCCCAGCCAAGGGAAAGCTGGGGCAGTAGACTCCTTGTCAAGGCAGCCTGGGTGATGGAAAGAACGTGTATTTTACACACTCAGGCCTGTCAGAGGGTGGAGGGCAGGAGGAGGGTGAAGATCAGGAAAAATAACTAATGGGTGCTAGGCTTAATACCTGGGTGACAATAATCTGTACAACAAACCCCATGACAGAAGTTTACCTATATAACAAATCTGCATATGTATCCCTGAACCTAAAATAAAAGTTAAATTTAAAAAAAAAAAGAAGACATACTTTGGAATCGGTCTATCTAAGAGTGAATCTGAGCAGATAATTCTTCTGTTGCATGGAGCTGCCTAGTGATTGCCTATGGCTTTCAGTAAAATCCAAACTCCTCTAAAAACACAAAGTACTTTGCAGTTGGGCCTCTGCCTTCTGGGCTGGTCTCATCTCCTGTTACTCTGTTTCTTTGGGTCAGCTTATCGTTCTCAGAAAAAGTCCTGCTGTTCTTGAGAGTTTGTAATATTAACAGTGAAAATAATAATGGCGAGCCTCTTTTGAGCTCTCACTGTGAGGCAGATACTGTAATTGCTTTGTTTTTGTATCTATTAATGTTTGAGGTAGGTATTACAACCTCAGTTTTATAGCCATGAGGTTAATTTGCCCAAGGCCCCTAGATAAAAAGTGGTAGAGCTGAGGTTCACACCTGGGGAAGTCCTGTTTCAGGGCCCATCCTCTTTTTTTTTTTTTTTTTTTTTTTTTGAGACAGAGTCTCACTCAGCCACCCAGGCTGGAGTGCAATGGCGTGATCTCCACTCACTGCAACCACTATCTCCCAGGTTCCAGCAATTCTCCCATCTCAGCCTCCTGAGTAGCTGGGATTATAGGCACCCACCATTGTGACCGGCTAATTTTTGTATTTTAATAGAGACGGGGTTTCACCATGTTGTCCAGGCTGGTCTTGAACTCCTGACCTCAGGTGATCCACCCGCCTCAGCCTGCCAAAGTGCTGGGATTACAGGGGTGGGCCACCGCGCCCGTACTCTTTATGATTACTCTAGGCTTCTCTCAAATACATTTCCTTTTGTTTGTCTTGTAACCCCTACATATACCTCAAAACTCAGCCCTGGTGTCACTCTAGCATGCATGAGGTGTCTGACCTGTCTGCCTTCCCTGCTGAACTGTTAGCTCCTTGAGCAGAGCACCTGGCACAGATAATTCTCAAGAAGCATTGGTGGGCAAATGAAGGCCAGATAATTTCTAGATGTCAACTCACTGACTCCAGAGTGACTCAGTGGGTAGGCACTATTATTATCTTCATTGTCTAATTTGATATTCTTAACTACCTAGAAAAGAAAGTAGGATAGGACTGTCACCCTCGCAACTAGAAAGAAACTGAGCCCCTGAGCGGGGGAGTGAGTTACTCTGCCCAGCACTTCCTGAATTCCATCCAGGAAGGCAGAGATTGCAGCTGTAGCACTCATGGCTTCTTTGCAGCTGGACGGGAGAGCCACTGCAGCATTCACCGGCACACCGTGGTGAAGCTGGCCCACACCTACCAAAGCCCCCTGCTCTACTGTGACCTGGAGGTGAGCATGCTGATCACAGGGACCAACACTGCACTCGGGTGAGGGAAACGGGGTGGTCAGCATACAGGGGTCACATCGGGAATGCTTAGCGAAGCACTGAGTATCCGAGCAAGGCAGCTCCTGAGGTAGAGAGAGACACAGGATCCTGGCATTTCTGCTCACTGACTGTGACCTGGGCAGGTCACCCTGCGCCTTGGGGTACACAGGTGTAAAGCGGAGGTGCTGTACATTCATCTGGAGTGCATCTTATATGCAAGGCTCTAGCACGTGCTGCCCTGCTTTTCCTTTCGCTGCGTTTCTGCAAACTTAGTTATAACTAAGTCTTATGTGTTTGTATTTGTGAGTCCACTCTCCTGCTAGAGTGTAAATGATTGTGAGGCCGGGCATATGTCTGTCTCCAGTAACTGATGCATCCTCATGTCCGTTGGCAGTCAGAATGCCTGATTTGCCCTTACCTCTCTGGATTGCAGACCTGGTCTAGTCCTAGTCCAAGTCAGGGTACCTAGCAGGCAGTAGGGACGTTTGTTGGGTAAGTGAGTAGATGGTTGGATGGATACGTAGGGTGTTGGTTCTGCCCTGACAGGCTTCTGTTGGTGTCTCTCACAAGGTGAAACTAACCATGGGGGGTAGGAAAGTAGCCTTGTTGTTGTTGTTGTTGTTGTTTTAGGTAAGGTCCTGCTCCATTGCCCAGGCTGGAGTGCAGTGGTGTGGTCATGGCTTACTGCAGACTCAAACTCCTGGGCTCAAATGAATCTCCCACCTTTGCCTACTAAGTAGCTAGGACTACAAGCATGCAGCACTGCACCTAACTAAGTATTTATTTATTTACTTTTTAATGTACAGATGAAGTCTTGCTATGTTTCCCACATTGGTCTCAAACTCCTGGCCTCAAGTGATCCTCCCACTTTAGCTTCCAAAAGTGCTGGGATTACAGGCGTGAGCCACCACGCCTGGCCTTCAGCCACTTTTTATGCAGGATAAATCCTGATGACTTTTTTTTTTTTTTGAGACAGTGTCTCATTTTGTCGCCGGGCGCCAGGCTGGAGTGCAGTGGCTCGACCTCCACTCACTGCAACCTCCGCCTCCTGGGTTCAAGCAGTTCTTCTGCCTCAGCCTCCCGAGTAGCTGGGACTACAGACGCGCGCCACCACGTACAGCTAATGACTTTTTGCTAAAGAGGCATCAGCAGGAGTTGATGTGTTCCCCACCACCCCCAGGGGTCTACTGAGGGGTCTCAGGGCCTATGCTGCCCCACCTATGCACCAGGCCTGCTCCATTCCTTTGGAAACCTGTTTGTTGGTTTTGAGATATATTTTGAAGAGTTGTGTTTCTGCTCTATTCTGGGTCTTGTGCCTGTTACCAAAGGCGAAGTGATGCAATGGAGGGAGAACCGAGTGAGCACGTGATCTGTCACCACCATCTAGACCAGGGGCCCTTATCTTGGTGTCCGGGCACTCCTCTGGTGATAGCAGTCTGTGACTGTCACCAGTAGAAATGGGGATGTTTTCTTTTCTTTCTTTTTTTTTTTTTTTTTTTGAGACAGAGTCTCACTCTGTTGCCCAGGGTGGAGTGCAGTGGCATGATCTCGGCTCACTGCAACCTCTGCCTCCCAGGTTCAAGTGATTCTCCTGCCTCAGCCTCCCGAGTGGCTGGGATTACAGGCGCCTGCCACTGCACCTAGTTAATTTTTGTATTTTTGGTAGAGACGGGATTTCACCATATTGGCCAGGCTGGTCTCGAACTCCTGACCTTGTGATCCAGCCTCTGCGGCCTCCCAAAGTGCTGGGATTATAGACGTGAGGCACTGTGCCAGGACTAAATGGGGATGTTTTCATATCACATTAGGATTGGGCAGATCTTATCACTGCCTCACATGGCAGCAGCTGTTAGACCTGCCCCTCAGTTGATGCATCCATCACGATACACGCTTGACTCTGTCACACATTTGTTTTCCTATTTGATGACTACCTTTAGAGCCCCCAACCAGATCAGCGCCCTGATCTCACAGATGAGACCCTGAGGCCTGGGCACATCCCAAGTGCCTGTCCCTGCCAGGCCTTCCTCCCAGAGAGAAGAGGTGACTTTCTCAGCGTCATACAGCTAGTGAGTGAGGGGTAGAGCCAGCTGGTGGGTATGCAGCTGTCTCTCCCGTCCTAACCTGCTGACTGTGTGACTTTGAGTAGGTCACTTTCCCTGCCGCAAAGCGTTAGTTTTCTCATCTCTAAAGGGGAATCACAATCTTTGCTCCATAGTTTAGGTGCTGGTGGGGGACAGCAGTGCCTGCTCGCCTTGTGACAAGTGGTGCAATTCTGTCTGTGGTCATGAGGTGGCAGGCCAGGCCAGGTCCTGGGTTCTCTCATGGCCTAGGCAGGAAGCAAGAGGCCCCTGCCTGGTTCCAGCCAGCAGCAGGAGCTGCAGAAATGCCTGCTTGGAACATATACCTGCATCCTTCAGATGAAGGACCCAGGGTTTGAACTGGCCTCGCTCTTAATGCTGGTGTTGTCCTCTTCAAACACTCCTCTGCATAATTGAGTTTGAGCCCTACCATATATCTTGAGGCCTTTGCGTGGCAGGAATTATCGGCCCTGTTTCATTGATGAGGAAACACAGGAAGGTATGTGATTGACCCAGTGAAATAATTTCCTAGATCTACTGATAGGGCTCTATGCTGGACCCTGGGAACACAAATGAGTTAGATATGGGCCCTGCCCTCTCAGAATCTCAAGAAATAAACAGACATGTAACATACGCAACAGCAGAAGGAGCTTTGGGAGCCTGGTGGTGGAATTAGGTCATTTCTTCCTGGATGTCATGGGCAAAGTCATGATTGTAGTCAGACGTGGGCTTTTGGGTCACGTCTCTGGAGTGACGTGGATTGGAGGAGACCTGGCCAGAGGCAGGAGGCTGGGTTGAGCTGCTGCAGGAGGCAGGTTGTAGAACCCAAGCCTCAGCAGCTTAGAGATAGATTTCAGGGACAAAGCCCACCAAACTCAGAGTGAATTTATTCAAAAAATACTTCCTGAGTTTCTTTTTTTTTTTTTTTGAGATGGAGTTTCGCTCTTGTTACCCAGGCTGGAGTGCAATGACGTGATCTCGGCTCACCGCAACCTCCGCCTCAATTCTCCTGCCTCAGCCTCCTGAGTAGCTGGGATTACAGGCACACGCCACCATGCCCAACTAATTTTTTGTATTTTTAGTAGAGACAGGGTTTCACCATGTTGACCAGGATGGTCTCGATCTCTTGACCTCGTGATCCACCCGCCTCGGCCTCCCAAAGTGCTTGGATTACAGGCGTGAGCCACCGCGCCCGGCACTTCCTGAGTTTCTATAGTGCCAAGCACTGTTCTAGGTTCCCGGGACACAGCACAGAGGAAAACAGTATATTAAAAAAAAAAATCCAGCTTCCTGCTGGGCACAGTGGCTCATGCCTTACTGTAATCCCAGCACTTTAGGAGGCCGAGGCGGATGCAAAATGAGATCAGGAGTTTGAGACCAGCCTGGCCAACATGGTGAAACCTCACCTCTACTGAAAATACAAAAATTAGCGGGGCATGGTGGCTGGTGCCTGTAATCTCAGCTAATCAGAAGGCTGAGGCAGGAGAATTGCTTCAACCTGGGAGGCGGAGGTTGCAGTGAACCAAGATCGTGCCACTGCACTCCAGCCTAGACAACAGAGCAAGACTCCATTTTGGGAGGAAAGAAAAACCCAGTTTCCTGCTGGGCGTGGTGGCTCACACCTATAATCCCAGGGAGGCTGAGGTGGCAGGATCACCTGAGGTCAGGAGTTTGAGACTAGCTTGGCCAACATGGTGAAACCCAGTCTCTACTAAAAATACAAAAGTTAGGCAGGGTGGCACATGCCTGTAATCCCAGTTACTCTGGAGGCTAAGGCTGAACCCGGGAGGCGGAGGTTGCAGTGAGCCAAGGTTGCGCCACTGCACTCCAGCCTGGGCAACAGAGTGAGACTCTGTCTCAAGAAAAAAAAAAGTCCCAGCTTCGTTCTAGTCAAGGAAACAAACAGAGTAAATGATGTACTGGAAAGTGGAGGCGTGGCATGTCAGGTGGTAGTAAACAGGCAAGAGTTAGGCAGGGTGACCAGGAAGCACCCCTGCAAACAGGACTTTTAAATAAATAAAGACCTGAAGGAAGTAGGAGGGCAGGCCATGGAGATACCCGGTGGCAGGAGGAACAGCAGGTGCATGGGCCGTGCGTGGAACTTGCCTCATGTGCTCGAGGTCCTGAAGGGAGGCCTGGATGGCTAGAGCACAGCAGCAAAGGGCGGGTGGGGGAAGAATCAGGAACAGTGGGGCTGGATCAGTAGGGCCTGGTGGGGAGCTCCTGGAGGGCTTGGGGCCAGGGAGGGATGTGGCCTGCCTTGGGGTTTTTTTTCCTCCAGATGGAGTCTTGCTCTTTTGCCAGGCTGGAGTGCAGTGGCGCAATTTTGGCTCACTGCAACCTCCACCTCCCAGGTTCAAGTGATTCTCCTGCCTCAGCCTCCCAAGTAGCTGAGACTACAGGTGTGCGCCACCATGCCTGGCTAATTTTTGTATTTTTGTTTTATTTTAAGAGACAGAGTCTCACTCTGTTGCCAGGCTGGAACACAGTGGTGTGACCTCAGCTTACTGAAACCTCCATCTCCTGGGTTCAAGTGATTCTCCCGCCTCAGCCTCCTGAGTAGCTGAGGCGGGTTCCACCATACCTGGCCAATTTTTTTGTATTTTTAGTAGAGACGGGGTTTCACCACATTAGCCAGGATGGTCTCTATCTCCTGACCTTGTGATGTGCCTGCCTTGGCCTCCGAAAGTGCTGGGACTACAGGCATGAACCACTGCACCCGGCCAATTTTTGTATTTTTAGTAGAGATGGGGTTTTACCATGTTGGCAAGGATGATCTCAAACTCTTGACCTCATGATCCGCCCACCTCAGCCTCCCAAAGTGCTGGGATTACAAGCATGAGCCACTGTGCCTGGTCCTGACTTGGGTTTTAAATGGACCCCTCTAGCTGCTGGGAGGAGAGCAGACTGAAGGGAAACTAAGGCAAAAGTAGACAGGTCGGGAAGTTCTTTCTAGGGGAGTGAAGTGTGGATTCAGTGCTGGCCAGGGAAGGGGATGATGGAATGGTCTATGACACCGCTGTTTCCAGGATGGAGCCAGCAGACCCTGCTGTGGCCAACCCATGAGGCATGAGAGAAAGAAGAGTCCTCCCTGACTCTGAAGGTTTTGGTGCTGACTGGAAGGACAGAGTTGTCTTTGGCTGAGATGGGGAAACCTGCAGGAAGAGCAGGTTTTACGGGGCTTCAGGGGCTCTGTTTTGGGCATGCTAAAATTAAGGGGTCTGTTAGCCACCTAGGTGGAGAAATCAAGTAAACAGCTGCATACATGTTTGCATTCACAGGGAAGACCTGGAGGTGTACTTTGGGTGTTAATAGCAACTAGGTGGTTTTAAAGGCACAGAACTGGAGGAGGTCACCTGAGGACTGAGTGTGGGAGAAGAGACTGAAGGACCAAGCTCTCGAGCCCCAGCCTATAGATGTTGGGAAAAGGCGAGGGAGCCCCCTGTGTGGGGGAGGAACCCTGGGTGAGCATGGGGGTCTGGGAGCCAGGCAGAAAAAGCATTTCAAGGAGGGAGTAAACAGCAGTGTTCGACTCTGCCAATGGCGCCAGTGTGGTGAGGACTGAAATGCTGCCGCTGGGTCTCATACCAAGGAGGTCATGCTGACAAGTGGTAGGAGTAAGAGCAGGGTAGTTGAGGATGCCTTGGTCTCTAGTGCTCCAGTTTCAGTGGGTGGCGACACCCCAGCCTGCCCCCAGCTATAGAGGAAACAGAGGTGAGATGCTTCTGCGGCTGCCTGTTGGCCAGGGGAAGACACTGAGCAGCGTCATGTTCTTCAAACGAACGCGTCCAGAGCATCTGTGCCCAGGCCTTGGGCAATCTTGTCCCCCTCTGGCCCCACAGCTCCCCTAAGGCCATTCCTTTTTGATGGCACCTTCTTATCCATGGTGAGGGCCACCTGCTGTCCCTCCCTCCTTCGCATCCCTGTGAGCATCTTATGCTCCCTGGTCTTGAGCCTTTGGGGCTCCTGCTGCCCAGGTGTTGGTTGGAAGCAGCCCTGGTTCAGAGCTCAGCTCTGCAGTCACTGTGTGACCCTAGAAAGTTCAGTCGACCTAGCCAGCCTGAGCCTTCATTTCCTCTTGAACAGGAGGTCGGGCTCTGGATGTCTCGGGAGGTGGTTTGAAGGATTGGGGAAGCCAAAGCAGTTGGAAGCTACTCTGAGGTGTGGCATGAATGAGGGTGTGGCCATGATGGGCAGTGGTGCCCTGAGCTGCCCCTGAGTCTCTGCCCCCAGCCCTGCTCTGGCAGCCCCTGCAGCTGCTCTGGGCAAGGGAGCAGGGCCAGCTGCTGAGTTCTGTCTCACCGCTGTTCTCTGCTCTCCCCGCAGGTGGAAGGCTTTCAGGCCACCATGGCACAGCGCCTGGTGCGCATGCTGCAGATGTGCGCCGGCCACGTGCCTGGTGTCTCGGCTCTGAACCTGCTGTCCCTGCTGAGAAGCTCTGAGGGCCCCTCCCTGGAGGACATGTGAGGGGAGCTGGCCCTGGGCTGCCCCTCCCCATGGCTTCTTGCTGACTCCATACACATTCCCTGTTGAGGATGTTGAGGGCTTGACAGGCCCCAGCTCAGCCCTCAGTGGTTGGGAAGGTTCCCTGCAGTGCCCATGCTCTAGCAGGGAGAGCTGGGCAGAAGCAGCAAGGGTCCCAGCTGATGGGACTCCTCCTACTCCCACGCTCACTCTTGCAGATTCTTGTGTCTTTAGCTGGCGTGTTACATCTCCATTTAAGGTTTCCTTTGAACAAAAGGTCTGTGGCTAAAAAAAGTTTAAAAATCACTGGTCTAATTCACCACTTTGACTTTGCAGATGAGGAAACTGACTCAGAACAATTAAGAGTAGGGTGGGGTGGGCCTGGCGCAGCGGCTCACGCCTGTAATCCCAGCACATAGGGAGGCCAAGGCAAGCAGATCACTTGAGGTCAGGAGTTTGAGACCAGCCTGGCCAACATGGTGAAACCCCATCTCTACAAAAATACAAAAATTAGCCGGACACGGTGGTGGGTCCCTGTAGTCCCAGCCACTCGGGAGGCTGAGGCAGGAGAATCACTTCAACCTGGGAGACAGGGGTTGCAGTGAGCTGAGATTATGCCACTGCACTCCAGCCTGGGTGGAGTGAGACTCTGTCTTCAAAAAAAAAAGAAATCACACAGCAGAGTTCAAAAACTGGTACAAATTAGGAATTGCACCACGTTGGAAGTTTGCAAGAAGTGAGAGAAGCTGGCTAGAGGGCTTGTTTTTGGTTTGATGGTGAGAGATTGTGCAGTGACCATTACGTTCCTTCTTCCTTGGGTCTAATTGGAAATGTGTAGAGGCACCAACTAGACTCTAGAAGTCCCATAGCCAGGTCAGGGCTCCTGCCGCTGCGTGGAACAGGCTTGGCACATGGGAACTTGGGGGTGAAGGGAGTGTCTAGGAGAAACCTCAGGAAGAGAGCCCGGTCCTGACTCCCTTGGAACATGACAGTGCCCTCCCCACCTTCACCCTGCACGTGCCACAGCCTGCCCTCAGGCCTCAGGATGGACCCTGCTTGAAACCCTGGGCGGTACCTCGGACCTCAGGGCCTCTGCACTTTTTTTTTTGGTTGGTGGGGTTGGAGTGCAGTGACGTGATCTCAGATCACTACAACCTCTGCTTGCTGGTTCAAGCGATTCTCCTGCCTCAGCCTCTGGAGCAGCTGGGATTACAGGCATGTGCCACCATGCCTGGCTAATTTTTGTATTTTTAGTGAAGACAGGGTTTCACCATGTTGGCCAGGCTGGTCTTCAACTCCTGACCTCAGGTGATCTGCCTGCCTCAGCCTCCCAAAGTGCTGGGATTACAGGTGTGTACCACTATGCCCAGCTAATTTTTGTATTTTTAGTAGAGATGGGGTTTTGCCATGTTGGCCTGGCTGGTCTCCAACTCCTGACCTCTGGTGATCTACCCACCTTGGCCTCCTGGAGTGCTGGGATTACAGACGTGAGCCACCGAGGCCGGCCTGAGGCCTGTTTCTGTTTTGATGTCACCATCACAGCTGGACCCATGCCCTTCACTAAGGGGTAGGCTACCTCCTAACTCCTTGTAGGTGTCAGGGATGTGGCCCTGTCTGCCCCTTTCTGTAGATTCCTTCTGGAACTTAGCCCAGGCCCCACCCCTAGTGCTCAGTAAAGGGTTGTAGACACCTGGCTGACTTCCTGGCAGACCCTTGGGCTCTGCTGAGGACCTCAGTCGTGTAGATTCCAGTCAAGGTCCCACATGTCACCCGACATTTGCAGGGCCTGTTATGCTTCACAGAGCTCTTCTCACACAGCAGAGCTATGAGGTAGATCATGTTTCCCCAATTCACAGTTCATGAAACCCACCGTTGTCATGGGAGGTGTCACAGTCACACAGCTAACCAGCAGCAGAGCCAGTCCCAGTCCCCTGCTTCTTCCCTCCAGTTTTCCTGTGTGCCTAATCCTTGAATAAAGGTTTGGAGGCCGGGCATGATGGATCATGCCTATAATCCCAGTACTTTGGGAGGCCAAGGCGGGCAGATCACTTGAGGTTAGGAGTTGAAGACCAGCCTGGCCAACATGGTGAAACTCTGTCTCTACTAAAAATGCAAAATTAGCTGGGCATAGTGGCGCACATCTAATCCCAGCTACTTAGGAGGCTGAGGCAGGAGAATCGCTTGAACCCGGGAAGCGGAGATTACAGTGAGCCAAGATCGCACCACTGCACTCCAGCCTGAGTGACAGAGCGAGGCTCTATGTCGAAAGAAAAAGGGTTTTGGGCATCTCCACTGGTCAGGCCCTAAGCTGGAATACAGAGAGTGGAGACAGCCCATGCCCCCTAAAAAGCAGCAGTCAGCAAGCCACAGTTGCTGCCTCAGGATGGGACCACTAGTACACTGAGCATCAAGGGAGGGGGCAGGATAGGCCAAGGGCAGAGTCCCTTAGTGTGAGAACAGCACAGTGCAGGCACTGGGCCCGAGCAGGCCTTCGCCAGCAGCGATAAACCCCTTGGGCACTTGGTCGGGGAAGCCAGCCTCTGTGCTGGAGGAGGGGTGGCTCCAAGGCCGAAGGAAGAGGCTGGAGGTGAAGCTTCACATTGGTCCCTGAATGGGCAGTAACAGCAGAGGCCTGGAAGGCCAGCCTTCCCAGAGAGTGACATTGTCTTGAGCCCCTCTGTCCTGGGCCAAAAAGGGCAGCTTTGCAGTGTGACTGGGCAATAAAGTAGTCTTTGGGGGGCTGATGGAGTCAGGGGTCCAAGCAGGGGAGGAAGGCAGCATAGATGCAGACTGCCTGCTCTTCTGGGATGTCACTTTTTGCTGGAGACAAAGAGAGGCCTTCCCCACACCCCCTCCCCCGCCCCCCAGCCCGCATGGGGCACCTCTTTCAGGTCCCTGTGCCACATTTTCCTTGCCACCTGGTACCATTTAACAAGAGAAGTGGCATTGCATTCTCCAGCCAAGGGGTTGGGAACCTTCCAAGCACTGGGGAACACAGTGCTGTCACTGCCGCCAGCTCCCAGCCGAGCTTGGCAGGGGCCCTAGAACCAACAGGCCTCCCCTCTGGAGTTGGGGGCTGGCCTGCCCCTGCCTCACAGGAGAGCGAACCACACTTAAATGGCAGGCAGGTGCCCTCAGACCTGCTGTCCCTGGAAGGTGGGGGATGGGTGGCCAGAGAGTGGGGTTGCTTCATGCCATCTGGAGACCATTGACATTGTCCAGGAGACAATTCGAGGGAAGTAATGGAAGATCAGTGTGTGCCCGGAATTGGTGCTTGGTACTGAGGGGAGGTGGAGGGAGATGGGAGAGGCTGGGCTTGGCTGCTTGCTTGGTGGCATGACCTCAGGCAGGTCACTCACCCTCAGCAAGCCTCAGTTCCTCAGCTGTAGCATGGCACCAGGCTTACTGATGCCTTTCTTCTTAGCTGGTTGAGGACTGGCAATGAAGAAGCCACATTTTATGTATATATTTAGAGATGGGGTCTTGCTTTGCTGCCCAGGCCGGTCTCAAACTCCTGGCCTCAAGCCCATTATTTTTATTTATTTTTGTTGAGACAGAGTCTTGCTCTGTTGCCAGGCTGGAGTTCAGTGGCGTGATCTCGGCTCACTACAACCTCCATCTCCCGGGTTCAAGTGATTCTTCTGCCTTAGCCTCCCGAGTGGCTGGGATTACAGGCCTGTGCCACTATGACTGGCTAATTTTTGTATTTTTAGTAGAGATGGTGTTTCACTATGTTGGTCAGGCTGGTCTCGAACTCCTGACCCCGTGATCCACCCGCCTTGGCCTCCCAAAGTGCTGGGATTACAGGCATGAGCCACCATGCCCAGACTTTTTTTGTTTTTGTTTTTTTGAGACGGAGTCTCACTCTGTCATCTAGGCTGGAGTGCAGTGGCACCATCTCAGCTCACTGCAGCATCCATCTCCTGGGTTCAAGCCATTCTCCTGCTTTAGCCTGCCTAGTAATTAGGACTATAGGTGTGCACCACCATGCCTTGCAATTTTTTTTTATTTTTAGTAGAGACAGGGTTTCACCATGTTGGCCAGGCTGGTCTTGAACGCCTGACCTCAAGTGATCCTCCCACCTTGGCCTCCCAAAGTGCTGGGATTACAAACGTCAGCCACCATGCCTGGCCTATTAAAGACTTCTATACCACTTTTTTTTTTTTTTTTTTTTTTTTTTTTGAGACGTAGTTTTGCTCTTGGCCAGGCTGGAGTGCAATAGCACAATCTCAGGCTCACCACAATCTTTGCCTCCTGGGTTCAAGTGATTCTCCTGCCTCAGCCTCCCGAGTAGCTGGGACTACAGGCATGTACCACCATGCCCAGCTAATTTTGTATTTTTAGTAGAGACGGGGTTTCTCCATGTTGGTCAGACTGGTCTTGAACTCCAGACCTCAGGTGATCCAGCCGCCTCAGTCTCCCAAAGTGCTGGGATTATAGGTGTGAGCCACCGCGCCCGGCCAGCATGCTCTACTTTAAATTCACTGAATACTCTTTTGGAAAAAGATAATTTGGGCCACTGTACTCCAGCCTGGGTGAAGAGCGAGACTCCATCTCAAAGAAAAAAAAACTTAGCTGGGCATCTGTAATCCCAGGTACTAGGGAGGCTGAAGTTAGGAGAATTATTTGAACCCAGAAGGCAGAGGTTGCAGTGAGTTGAGGTCGTGCCACTGCACTCCAGCCCGGATGACAGAACGAGACTCCATCTCAAAATAATAAAAGGTAATTTGGAGTCTTCAGAGAGAAGGGGGTCTCTTGATTTTTGTGCCCCCAATTCTCCTAAAACACCCTCACAATGGCTCTGATGCAAGTACTACTAGGATATATTCCAGATGAGAAAACAGGATTTGAGGGG